TACTACTACTACTACGACTATTACTACTACTATCACTGCTACTACTACTACTACCACTACTATTACTACCACGACTAGTACTGGGGCGAATACGACGAGTACTAATACTAATACTAATTCTACTACTGCTACAAACGCGACTAGTACTACTACTACGACGACTACCACGACTACTACTACTACTACTACTACTACTACTACTACTACTATTACTATTACTACTACTACTACTACTACTACTACTACTACTACTACTACCACTACCACTACAACTACCACTACTACTGCTACTACTACTGTTGCTGCTGCTGTTGCTGCTGCTGCAACTACCATCACTACTTCCACTACCACCACCACTACCATTACAACAACAACAACAGCAACAACAACAACTACTACTACTACTACTACTACTGATACTACTGCTACTGCGACTGCTGCTGGTAATACTACTTCTTCTCCTACTACCGCATTACCACTACGACTACTGTTACCACTACCACTACGACAGCGACTAAGGATGTTGCGACGCGGACAGCTTCCGAATGGGATCCCAGTCGGTGTTCAACGAGGAGTTTCTCCAGATCTTGCGAGTAGCATCTGAAAACGCCCGGCAGAGTCTCAGAGAAGTCTCGGAAAGCCTTGTCAGCATCTTATGATGTTTTTCCCGACCTAGGTTCCGCCCAGAAGGGTTATGACTCGGTGTGCTTAAAGGGCCGGGGCGGTTCCCCCAGTATCCGCCCCGCGGTTCCCCCATCTACGCCCATTTAGCTTAGCGTTGCTTATCTCATCTTAGCTTAGCTTATTTCATCTTAGCTTAGCTTCGGTTCATTTATTTCAGGCTTATCTTAGCTAGCTTACCTTCATCTTAGCTTCGTCGAACTTTAGCATAGCAGAACACAGCACAGCACAGCATAGCGTAGCATAGCGCAGCATCGCATATCATAGCCTGGGTGTAATCTCAGCTTCGCCTAGCTTCATCTTAGATTAACCTCGCTCAGCTTAGCATCGAGCAGCGATGCATTAACATATCATATCCTAGCATAACAAAGCCAAACATATCATAACGTAGCATAGCGCAGCATAGCATCGCATAGCACAGCATAGCAAAACAAATCATATCATAGCATAACACAGCTTAACATATCATAGCACATCATAGCTTAGCATAGCACAGCGCAGCATGACATATCATATTTTATCATCTCATAGCATAGCATACCCTAGCATAGCATAGCGCAGCATATCATCGCATAACATAGCATAGCATAGCGCATCATCGCATGGCATAGCATCGCATAGCATAGCAACTCCTGCTGCTTTCCTAGGAGTTCCAACTTCTAAGTCGGGTCGCACTGGGGTATATTTCTGAGTTTATGAGAGGCTTCTGCGCGTCTGAACCGGTGACTATATTTTGAAAAGCCTCCGGGGTGTTTCTGATGGGGCCCCTGCTGAGCTTCGAGGGGTCCACTGAGGAGCCTCTGAATCGCCTCTGTGAGGTTTCTGAAGAGACGGTGCTGAAGAGCTCTTGCCGCGCTTCTGCGAAGCCTCTGAGGGCCTCCTGCGATGCCTCCGAAGACCCTACGAACTTCTGAATAGACTCAGTATACTTGAGAAAACTTTGAGGAGCCGCTGATGAGCCTCAAGTGGTTGCGACGCATGACATGAAGAATCCTGTGGCATCGTGAAGGGCCCTGAAGATTCTGGTGGAATTCTGGAAATGTTGACGCGCATCGCGGTGGATTTCGGGCGATTTGCGGTCGTCACGACCGAATTGTCGCACTGGGGGCCCTAGAAACGGGCCCCGCTCATTCCAGAAGCGTTCTTGAGACCCTTCTCTCAACCAGAAAAAAGATCGCAGCTCCCCAGGAACATCGCAGCCACCTCGGCCCGATCGCAACTGGTTGCTGTCGGCCCGAATGCTCGACGATCGGCCCGACATGATTGCGATCGGCCCCGGTCTCTGTCGCTATCCCAGGGCGCAGAAGTGTGTCCCGGGACACCCAATAATGCGAAACAGCTGAAGATCCCGTTGATTCATGGCGGCCGCGGGGCGCTGGGCCGGAGGCTGAAGCAGCGGCGCAGGACACCGAGACTGCGCCGCGCTGCCGGCGCGGATTCGACGCAGCGCCCTCGCCAAGCAAGCAATCAAAAGCCGAGCATCCCGAGGAGCGCGCGGGCGCAGGAAGCTTAAGCATTGGCGCGCAAACGCGCGTGCAAGTCATGCGCCGGGGGGCGCGTGGGCGCTGGCGCCACTGCGCGACGCTGGGTTTGCACGCGCTGTGATCGCGCGCGAGGTCAGATCTCGGATGGCCACGACAAGACCCCCTCTGCGCCGCGGTCGCCCACTCGCTGCGCGGCCGCCCGCGGCGCCTGACACGCCGTTGCGAAGCTGGGGCTGTCGCGTCCGGGGCGAAGGTATAACTGCGCAGATCAACTGTTGAAGGCAACCGGGCGACGCCCCCCGCGGAGCAGCAGATGCCTCTGCAGCAGACGCGCGCCCAAAGGTTGGCGGCCGGCCCCCTTGAAATACGTTCGCGCCGGATTTACGCGACACATGGGGCGAAGGAATGCGCGAGATTGACCCCGCGCAACAACCGTAGAAACCGTTCAATCGCCTAGCATCTGAAACATTCAACCATGCGCGCTGCAAGCCGCACATGAGCTTCGACAGCATGACGGCGTCGAGAATGCTGATCTTTCTGGACATCGAAAGACGCGTGGGCCCATGGCCTCTTCAATGCCGCGAACCCCCACCTTTGTCCACGCTTGCAAGAGTACTCGGGCATGATCTGGCCACCCGCGTAAATCCCCACGCCCAAATGCGTCGTGCTGTCCTTTGTCGCAGCAATGCCCCCGTTTGGCACCCGCAGAACATAGTTCCTCTTAACTCCGATCAGCTGAAACTCTGACCGGCGAAGCGCCGCGCCGCGCAAGGCCGCCCGCGTGCGCAACGCGATCAAATTAGACGCACTTCGCGCACCCAGCCTCGAGATACCGCTGGGCCTCCGGCGAGAGTCTGGCGGGCGCATCGCAGACGACCGCCGCCGCGAGCATCGCGAACATCATGAAGGACCACGGCCATCCCTGTGACATCCAAAATTGTCGCCGTCGGCTGCCCGACTCTGCGCCGCCGCACCGTTCGAATATATTTCTTTGGCAGCACACGCCGGCGCAAGGCCACCGCGAGCGCTTCCACGTTGATAGAGTCGAACGACCTTTCCCAATCTAGAGCACGCGTGCCGATTTGCCCGCGCTTCCAAGCCAATTCCAGATCAATGAGCCGGCGGACCATGAAGATGGCGTCGCTGGTGCCCCGGCCACTGCGATAGCCGCGCTGCGCGCTCGCGAGCCGCCGCTCCGCCCCTGCCCGCGGCAATCTTGTCAGAAGTATGGGGGCGAAGAGTTCGTTGGTTATGCAAATGAAACTGGTTGGTCGGTAGCTGCCGCAGCAGAGCGCGACGGCCCCCTACGCGCATGGGGCAATCGCGCATGCGAGATGCCAGTCCTCGAGGACATCTCTTTCAGCCAACATTCGTTGCGCGCCCGCGCGAGCCGTGTGAGCCCCCCAGCTTGCGCGCAACTGCGTGCCAGCATCAGCTGTGCATTGGGCAACTCCGTCGCACCACACTCTTTAGCCTCTTGCAAGATGAATAATTCGACGTATGATGAAAATAAATCAAATGTCAAAATGAGGAGTCCACGAATACCTAAAAATAGATAACATTATTCTGAAATCCGAAGTAATTCAAAGCAGGTGATATCAAAAGCCGTCTACTATCTTCGGGGAAGAACCCAAGTGAGAGGGCGAGCGCCGCACTTACAAGCGATACCCTGAACAATGGAACAGTTGGCGCGGCGGCAGCGGCGGAGAGGACGGCAGCCCGAAGCAGCAGCCGCAAGATAGAGGCCCACGACGACGACGACTGAGGGAGGCGGGGCTGAAGGACAAATACCCCCCCGGAGGAACGGAGCAGGAGGAGGAGGAGGAGAAGGAGAAGGGGCCAAGGAGAAGGAGCAGGAGGAGGAGAAGGAGAAGGAAGAAGGAGAAGGAGGAAGCGGATGACTAGAAAAGTAAGAAGGTAGAGGAAGAGTGGGCACAAGGGGAAGACATGGTTCTCTCTGGCCCCAGCTCGGCCCCACGATCTGCACAAGCCTATGACAGCGAACCGCATGCTGCCGGCCTGCATGTGTACCAGAAGCAACAGGCACAGGCTGGGCACGCGGACTAAGCTCTGCTCTACCTCCTCCCAACCCCCCCCCTCATCCTCTCCCTCCTCCTCCTACTCATCTTCATCCTTATCATCCTTCTCCTCCTCATCCTTCTCCTCCCCCTCCTCCTCCTGCTCCTCCTCATCCTATCCTCCTCCAGTCCCCCCTCATAATATCCCCCCCTCTTCCTCATCTTCCTCCGCCTCCTCCCCCTCCTTCTCCTCCTACTCTGACTTCTCCTTCCCTCCTCTTTCTACTCCTTGTCCTTCTCCTCCTCATCTAGACTCTGGGGCCCGTCCGAAACCGCAAAACTAAAAGAAACTGCGCGGCTTCGGCCTGGGCGTCGGGCTGGGCGACGGGCTTCTGGAGCGGCGTCGGGCTGGGCGACGCGCTGGGCGCCCCTCTGGGCGACGGGCTAGGCGTCGGGCTGGGCGACGGGCTAGGCGTCGGGCGCGGCCCTCACGAAGTCCTCGACTTCTTGCGGGCGCGGGCCAGGCGATCCGCCAGCGAGATCTTCAGCTCAGGCGCGGCGCCCGCGACGGCGCCCTCGCGACGATCGAAAGACGATATAGATATTCAAAAAATGATGCGCGCCCCCGAGGCCACGATCTCGAATAATCTTCGCGCGCATTTTTTCCGTCGCAGCGCGGCTGGGGCAATCCACGCTCACGCCCGAGTGAATTTGGGGTCTTTCTCCTCTGCTTCCTCCTATTCCTCCTGCTCCTCCTCGTATCCCTCTTCTCCCTCCTCCCCCTGCTGGTTCTCCTGCCCCAAAGTCATTCTTGTACTTGTCGCCGTCGTCGCCCTCCCTGAGGTTGGACTCCAGCAGCTCGTGCTGCGTGTCCGGGCCCCTGGGCGGCGCAGCTGGGGCCTGCTCGAGGTCCCTGGTGCCAATGGACTGGCCGTCGCGCCACTGGTTCAGCAGCTGGCCGATTTCGGGCGTCTCCGCCCAGCCCGTCTTGCTCAACTCCACGCGGAGCTTGGCCACTGCCTTGGCGCGCGCCGCCACGTCCTCGAACTCCGTAGCCGGCCAATCCACCTCTGTGCAAGTGAAGACCGCGCCCAGCGCGACCGTGGCGAGCGCGCACTCGGCGGCCTTCCCAGCACGTGCGCTGGCCTCTGGAGGCAGCACGTGGAGCACGTGGCGGCAACACGTGGCCAGCCGCAGCTCGTGCTTCAGGGCCGCGCTGACCTGGCTCAGCGTTGAGTGCTGCATCTCGATGATCTGCTTGATGACTTTCTTGTTGCCAAGCAGCCCCACCGAAGGGGAAGTGGGCGCCTTCTGCTCGATGGTCTCGCACATCCTCGTGACGTCGCTCGTCATGAACTCCCTGAACACGGTCTCGACGCGCGAGCTCTCAGCGATCACCGAGCGCCCGCGCGACAGAACGTCGAGGAGGCCATCCAGCCGATCGAGGTGGAAGGGCGACTCGCGGATCTTCTCCATCATGCCAGCTGAAGCGGGGTCGTCCATCAGCCTCTGCAGGTGCCCCGTGCGGACCCCCGCGCCCCTCCAAGCAGTGACGTGGTCATCGGTGAGCAGCAAGTCCTTGAATGATTTGGCCTCCTCTCGCAGCAAAATCAACCGGTGAAGCTTGGCCGCGCATCCGATCGCATAGGCGATGGAGTCAAGGTAGTTGAGCTGAACTCGAAGCGCCTCGTCGCTGACCCGACCAGCCCATCGCGCTGCCCCCCTCGACTGACTTGCGGGGAAGCTCAATAGCCATCAGGAAATTAATGTCGTGCATCTTCAGGCACTCGCAGGAGAAGGCCTTCGGGGTCTCTCCGAAGATCTGCTTCGCTGCGTCGTAGATCTCGTTTACATAGGTCTCGCCACTCTTCCTGATCGCAGTCTTCAAGACGTCCATGCGAGGGCCATCCACGAGCGCAGGCGCCTTGAGCAACGCGCTCGGAGGCGTCAGCGAGGTCCAGGGAGCAAGATCCTGAGGGAAGGACGCGAAGCAGCCGACCATCAATGACTGCAAGTTCTGAAGTTCGAAAGCGCCCGTGTCTGGAGAAACTGCCAACAAGAGCTCGCCCCACTTCACGAGGGCGTTCGCGATGCCTGCCGCGTGCTCGCAAGCGCTGGCCTTATCAATGAAGACTGGGTTGTACAGCTGATGCGCCGACACGATCGACTCGGTCGTCATCGCCAGAATTTTGCGCATCTCCAGCGTATCATGTAGCCGACGCCGAAGATCAGCGGCAGACAACTCTTCCCTCACCACGGCCACCAGAATCTTCGCCCATCCTCCCGCAACTAAGCCCAACCACTTGCCAGTCCCCTCGACGAACATCGTGTCCTTCGCCTCTGGAATGTAGATCTGGATGCCTCCGCTAAGCGCAGCTTGGTAGTCCGCCTGGAGGTTCATCAGCGCGTCCGCGGCACGGTTGATCCAGGACAGGTCTGTCACTGCCAGGTCTGGCATGCAACGCTCCACGGCCTTGCTGAAGATCTCGGCCTTTGACATCAGCGGCGACAAACTCGCGAGCGTCGCCTTGGCCTTGGTCGCGATAAGCCGGCCCTGCGCAAGCACGTCCTTGCCGACGGGCCACATCGTGAGGGCCGAGCCCAATAAAGTGGACTTCGGCTTCCCTGGGAGAGACGCATCGATGACCGCCACGGCGTCGTTCAAGACAGCAGACATAGTCTCGATGTCGCTTTGCATCTAAGGGCGCAATGTCCATGCCGTGGGCCACGAAGGATGCCTCGAACTCGTAATCTGAGCTGAAGTCGTCAGGGTAAGCGGTGGACGCGTCGCCGTCGTCGGTGGAAGCGTCGCTGCCAATCGCCAAAACCTTCTCCGTGGACCTCGACCAGACCGCTGGACGCACCATCTTTGCAGGGGCCGCGCCGCTGCTGCCAGCCGCGCCGCTGCGCGAGGGCACGCGAGCCACTGGGCGAGGGCGCAAACAAATGGTGAGCGCAATGAATGCTGGCTGACGCGGGAGGAGCTGACGGCGGCACGCTGCCAACCAACAAAAAAACAACTTGAGCCGAAACGACTCCGGACAGGCAGTCCGGAGGGCGTTTGTGGAGCCTCGCCGAGGTTTTCCGATGGGCTCCTGGAAGTTTCTCCGGTACCTCGCAAGCTCCGTTGGGAGGGGGGCCCGTTGGGGGAAGGGCCTTTGGGCCTCCGGGATAGGGGCGGGGCCTCCTAGAGGGCTCGTGGGCGCCTTGTAAATGGGGCGCGGAGGTATCCCTTGTAAGCGCCTTCGCGAATGACGCGGGGTGGAATAGGCTCGCTTGTCGCGCGGATTTCTCTGGAGAGCTCTTGGAAACTTCTGGGCGGCTTATCTTATTGGGCACCAGCATCGGGAGACTCTACCGCAGCATGAAATATGAAGTAGGTCAGCGGCTAACAGGACATCAAGCCAACCTTTGGCCCAAACCAGCGAACGCAACAGCGGCAGCGACAGTCATGAGGTGGGCGAGGGGGGCGAAGGAAGGGAAGAGAGAGAAGGGGAGATAGGTAGGCACGAAATCCACACACCGTTATTAAACCTGCGTTCTCGCGCGAAGACAATGCACTCCCTTGCGATCCCAGTGGTGGATCCTCCTCCGTGTCCTTCTACTTCTCCATCCCCTCCCCATCCTTCCCTTTGTCCTCGTCGCCCCTCCGCCTCCTCCAATCTGGACGGCGCGACGTCGAAAGGCCGCTCCACGGCGAAAGGTTAGAAGTCACGTTCAGATACAAATCAATTCATGTAACGCATTTCCTAGGTTTGCAATTTGAATTAAAACACTTAAAACATACCATACATCACTTTCTCTGGCTTCCGAATTTCACCTGTATGTTAAGGTCAAACACATGGCTGATCTGTGGCGCCACCGCGACGGCCAAGCTGTGCACGCCGTCTGTCCCACGTGCTTTGTTATTCTTCAAGTTGCGCAGGGCGCCGCCCACCTCCTCTCCCCTGGCATCGCCGAGATCGGCCAGCAATTCACCCCCCAATAGCTCTTCGCCGGTCGCTGCTGCAGGTCTGACATGCCACTGGATTCGCTCCGAGAGCACGGCCATAGCGTCCGCCCACTAATCGCCGTCGACCACTGCACCGCTTTTGTTCTTCAGCTTGCCATTTCTCGGTTCCCGCGGCTTACGGCAAGCCCAGATGCTCTGCCGGCCCCCTGTCGCGAGCTGAATGTCCAGCCAGTTGGTCTTGTCTTTCTTGGCCATGTGTCGGGCCGTTTTGCGCAGCTCGCGCTCCAAAGCTGTGTTCCCAGGTTCTCTCGCAGCGCGCTTGCGGTCCAGTGCGACCAGCGTCTCTACGGATATCCACGGCTTGTTCGTTCCCCGGGCAGGTGCCGGAATCGTGGCGCCCGCGGCGCCCGTGGCCAGTGGCCACCCGCGCTCCCGGCGCGATGCCCTCGTCGTCGATAGCCGCGCTGTCGCAGAACGCCGCGGCGAACGTTCGTCGCGCATCCGGTTTCTCTAAGGCTGCCGCGCCTTGTCTGCGCGAGCGAATCAGTCAGCTGGCATCTCGCCCCAGCGCTTCCACCGCGGCTTGCACTAGAAGGTGGTCCGTTGCAAGAACTGCCCCGGGGGCGGATCTCAAAGCCCAGATGCGACTGAAGAGCTCCCAATCACACAGCAACATATCTAGCAGGTTAAAATATTGCTCCGTCACCGGGTCTTCTGGCGTGAACCGGGGCCCCATGACGTGGCCACGCTCTCCGGCCCCCCCCCCGGGCGGACGCGTTCGCCGCCGCCAGAGAATTGGCCAAGCAGAGCTCCACCAGCATCTCTGTTCGGAATGTTCACTTTACGGCTGGCCCGGGCGCCGAACACGCGCTTACCTATGATGCTCTCTTTGCCTGGACCGCCGCGCCCAAGTATCCTGAAATGAATCCCCATTAGTTCGCCGAACACTGTTGGCACGCCGCATCTAACGCAAAGAAGAATTGCAGCCTGTCGTCGACATCCCGGCCATATATAAGCGCACGCGATGCCCATCGTGCCCCCCCGGGGCCGCAACTTCACGCCGCAAATCCTGTCACGCACGCGTTTGTACGCACGCGCCGATGGACGTCACCGCGGCGACACAATCACCCCCGCCCACTTCTTATCCGGGCCGTGGCTGCCAGAGAAAGACAATCATGTTACCGTTATCCCATTTCTGACTGGTCTCCACCTTTCTAGATTCTTAAATTCATGGCGCGTCTATGTTGGACAACTGCATGATGCGAATTATTTCGGTCGTCTTCAGATCAGTTATTTAGGCCTTTGACGTTCCAAATCCCACTCGTCAAAGATTCCTGGGCCTCGCCGGCCACGTCCCCGAAGTCCCGCTGACAGGCTTCTGCTGCTGCGGGGTGGACCTGCGTCCACGCCCCCCTTGGCCCCACCAGAGGCCCTTGCCAGAACCTTTGCTGTTCCTGCTGCGGCTCTTCGCAGGCCCCTGTTTCGCAGTCGCCGTTATGGCCTTCACCTCCTGCGAATTCTGCAGATCCTACCAGTCCGCCCAATCCTGGATCAGCCACTCGACCTCGAAGGAATTCCCCACCGCCGTCGCCTTTACCACTTCCTTCCCCGCCACCTTCATGAGACCCCTCTCGCGGTCGACGGCGACGCATTCCTTCGCAAACGTGCTCTCCAGGACCTGGCCCCTTGAAGCTCCGTGGGCAGTCCATGCATAATGTTACGCGGTTGTCGATTGGCGCCTCGATGTCGCACCACATCCGCTTCGCGCCCCGTCCTTGGTCTCGTTCGCCTTCGTCGCTCTATCCCGGGGAATCGTCGGGCCGCGGGAGGCCCCATCAGGATCGGAAAACTTTGAGAACACCGTGCCCTTGAACGTCTCCCGCCCTGTCGTTCTTATACGCCTCGAGCGGTTTCGCGGCCGCATCTAACCCACTCGGAAGCCGATGTGAGAGACCACCCCCCGACCCCCCCGACAACCACCACCGATGTTGTGTTCGTGCTGCTGTGGATGCTGCTCGTGACGCTCATCTTCGGAATCGCCCCCTTGCTCATGTTCTCCACCTCCTCCCCTGCGAAACACTTTCCTGCAGCAAGCATGTTCTGCGCAGTGTATTTGGTGACCATATTCTGATGCACCCCCTTCACCTTCGCGCCCGTCTCCCTTGCGATATCTAAGGCCTGCTGCGCATTCTTACTCGCATCCTCCACCCCGCAACCGACTACATTCATGTCCTTCGTCATTACCTAACAGCGAAGACTGATAGATTTCTAGTAGGGTCAAAAGAGAGCATCATGACTCCCCAGGGGGGTCCGGGCAGGATCCGGGGGGACGCCGGTGAACTCGTTTTAACAAACCAGTAACGCACTTCGTGTTCTTCGTGTTCCCAGAACACCATTCCCGGGCCACATTTTGAATGCCCGGAGCCAACTGTAGGCCACTTCGTGTTCTTCGTGTTCCCAGAACACCACTCCCGGGGCACATTTTGAATGCCCGGAGCCTACTGTAGGCCACTTCGTGTTCTTCGTGTTCCCAGAACACCATTCCCGGAGCACATTTTGACTGCCCAGAGCCAACTGTAGGCCACTTCGTGGTCTTCGAGTTCCCAGAACACAATTCCTGGGCATGATTTTGAATGCCCGGAGCCAAACGTAGGCCACTTCGTGTTCTTCGAGTTCCCAAAACTCCATTCCCAGGCCACATGTTGAATGCTGAGGCTGAGGCCGATGCTGAAGCTGAGGCAGGCTGCGGCTGAGGCAGGCTGAAGCTGAAGCCGAGGCTGAAGGCAGACTGAGGCTGAGGCTGAAGCATGCTGAGGCTGAGGCTGAGGCAGGCTGAGGCTGAGGCTGAGGCTGAGGCAGGCTGATGCTGAGGCAGGCTGAGGCTGAGGCTGCGGCTGAGGCTGAGGCTGATGCAGGCTGAGGCTGAGGCAGGCTGAGGCTGAGGCCGAGGCTGAAGGCAGACTGAGGCTGAGGCTGAGGCAGGCTGAGGCTGAGGCTGAGGCAGGCTGAGGCTGAGGCTGAGACTGAGGCACGCTGATGCTGAGGCAGGCTGAGGCTAAGGCTGGGGCTGAGGCTGATGCAGGCTGAGGCTGAGGCAGGCTGAGGCTGAGGCCGAGGCTGCAGGCAGACTGAGGCTAAGGCTGAAGCAGGCTGAGGCTGAGACTGAGGCTGAGGCTGAGGCTGAGGCTGAGGCTGAGGCTGAGGGAGGCTCAGGCTGAGGCAGGCTGAGGCTGAGGCTGAGGCTGAGGCTGAGGCAGGCTGAGGCTGAGGCCGAGGCTGAAGGCAGACTGAGGCTGAGGCTGAAGCAGGCTGAGGCTGAGGCTGAGGCAGGCTGAGGCTGAGGCTGAGGCAGGCTGATGCTGAGGCAGGCTGAGGCTGAGGCTGAGGCTGATGCAGGCTGAGGCTGAGGCAGGCTGAGGCTGAGGCCGAGGCTGAAGGCAGACTGAGGCTGAGGCTGAGGCAGGCTGAGGCTGAGGCTGAGGCAGGCTGAGGCTGAGGCTGAGGCAGGCTGATGCTGAGGCAGGCTGAGGCTGAGGCTGATGCAGGCTGAGGCTGAGGCAGGCTGAGGCTGAGGCCGAGGCTGAGGCAGACTGCTGGCTGAAGGGCTGAGGCTGAGGAGGCTGAGGCTGAGGCTGAGGCTGAGGCTGAGGCTGAGGCTGGCTGAGGCTGAGGC